GAGAGAGAGAGAGAGAGAGAGAGAGAGATAGAGAGAATATGTACATCTTTGTGTGCAAGTGCCTGCAAATGCCAGAGCACACATTGAATCCATTGCAGATAGGGTTATAAGCACTTGTGAGCCACCTGATGTGGGTTCTAGGATCCAACCTCCAGACCTCATGATAGAACAGCAAGCACTGTTAACACACAAGCCCTCTCTCCAACCCCACCTTTTCAGGTTTTTGTTGTTGTTGTTAATCTAATTGATATTAATGTTTATCTCATTTTGCTATGCATTTCTCTGATTTCCATCAGACTGATTTTTTTTATAGTATTAAGTTCTTCCTTCTAAGAACACAGAGAATCTCCCATTTGTTTAGAACATCCCCTAATTTACTTAATCACTTATCTATTACTGTGGTTAGAATATTTATTTAGGTTATTTATAAAAGGAAAATAAGGGAAACCCAAGCTATTTATAGAGCCCATGGACCAAACAGGATGTACGGTGTATATTATATTTCCCAAATCAGGGGGTAGGCAGGAAGATAATGAGCTTGAGGTCAGTCTAGACCACATAGTGAGAGACCTATCAAGAGGGGAGGAGGTGTGGCTGTGGCTTGCTCCTTCATCTCTTTGATCTGTCAGCATTTTCCCTTGTACCTGACTCCGGGTTAACCCCCACTGTGCTAGACAGTTGCACTCTTAACATGTCCAACAGCTGTCTCTTGGCTTGGAGATAACCACTTTCTATTGCTGAAACTTGGGTGTCTGTTCTGCATTCAGAGAAGAGAGAAAACACTGGTGGAAACTCCACCCACACCCTGGGCTGATGCTACACCAGCAAGGTAGTTATTTCATTCTTTTGTAAACTTCAAAATTACATTGGCATCCTCTCAGTGAGTCAGACAAATCAGAGCGACCTAAAGCATCCTGTCTTAGAATTTTTCATATAATGCCTGTGTTTGGGAGTGTGCTGTGATCAGTTAATAGCAATGGCTGCTGGTACAGGGAAGGGTATAATTCTTTCCTGGATTATAGGAGCTGTAGCTCACGCAGAGAGTCCTTTTTGATGGAGGCCAGTCAGCTTTTATGGACTTCACCGCTATTTGCTCCAGTACACTTTGAAATGCAAGGTCAGCTCACGGGGCTACATCATGCAATAATAACACATTTTTATAGGTGTAGCTTGTCAGAGCAGCAACAACATGCAATACATAAAACCAATAAACGCACGATGTCTACAGATCCTCTCCGAGTAACCAGATAAAGCAATAAAATTGACAGCAGTCATCAAAAAGCTCCCTTCCTGACTCTGTAGGGAGAATTTACTGTTGCTTAATACAGAGGACCTTTCACTGAGCCTTGGATCAGTGTGGTGACAAAGGAGAGTAACATGGGCAGTCAGGCCTTGCCAAAGCTTGAGACACTGGGAAACTTCGTGTAATGCATCCATAGCAGAGAATTTCTGCAGAATGTTTTGGGTTTTCCAAGTTATATATTAAGTATTTTGGGTGGTAGATTCACAAGTAGTATCTCCATCTTCAGTTTATATCCCTAAGGCAAGGGACAGGGTGATATCTGACAGATTAGACAGTAGTGTTTTCTTTCCATCTTTTAATTCATTTATTGGATTTAGTTTCTTTACTGACTCTTTGAGAGTTTCACATCATGCATCCCAATTCTGCTCACCTCCTGGTACCCCCATATACTCTCCTCTTCCCTGCTGTGCCTCCTTACAAAAGGAAGCAAACAAGCAATGGAACAAAAGCAAAAACAAAACAGAAAAACCTCAAAAACCAAAACAAAACAAAAACCGCAACAATAGAAAAAATCTCTTTGCTTCTTTGTCTTTTCTGCCTCTCCAACACCTCTTCATTCATCCTGGTGGCATTGAAGGCTTCAGTGTGCCATGTAGTATACCTCTTTGTCCCATTAGTTTTACTAGTAAATATTCACTGCAGTGAGTCATTGGTTTGGTTCAAGGCCTTTGGTGTCTGGTACACCATTATCACTGGATCCTCATCGAAACTCCTCTGGGATATCCTGTGGCTGCCACAAGTCTGGAGATCTTGAGGATATCATTCCACAAGGTCAGTCCCTTCACCAGCTCCAGCATGTCCTAGATGGGGCCAACCCAAGGCCCTGCTGTAGGCCTGGGTAGTAGCTGAGCTGGTGAATCTGGGCCCCTGGGGCCACTCTCCTTGGGCAAGGGGATAGGATCAGCTCCCTTACATGCATGCCCTCAGTTTACTCTGGCCTGTGATGAAGGGTGGGGCTATCTCTCCAGCGTGCAGGGGCCAGCTTTCTTGCTGTAGTGTCCAGTGAGAGGCAAAGCCAGCTTTCCCAGGGCCAGCGAAGGGTGGTTCAGGCTCAGCATAGCCCTCTGATTTCATCTCACATGGTTCCTGAGGCCCCCTGAGGTGACACAGGCCACAGACATCCACAACTGTAGCAGCACCACAGACCCAGACATGGCCCTTGGCAGCATCCTGGATCGGGATGACATCCTGGCTCTTGGTGGAAGGAATGGCCACTCAGGTGAGAATGGTTCTGGCAGCTGTATAGATGCAGAACAAGGTTGCTGTTTTCTAAGACAGCATTCTGAATGTGGAATCCATCTACACTTTGAAATGAGGGTAATAGGAGGAAAACATGAAGAATAGGCTGGGATGTCACGGGGAATCAGCAATGACTACGAATACGAGTTAACCTGCATTGCAGCAATATTCTAATTACTGAAGTCTTGGCATAAGCATCCTTTATTACCAGATTTCTTTGGGTATTTCTAGTGAGAAATATATGGGAGATGCAATGCAGGAAGCTCTGGAGATGCTGATCAGAACTAAGGGTAAGTGGTGATGGGCATGGCCAGTATAGCAACCATTGATAAAGTCTCAGGGATCAGAGGCCTACAAAATCTCAGCAATTATCCAAAATATAAATCATGAGGCTTGTGCAAGGAGGCTCGGTGAGTAAAGTGCTTTCTGCACAAGCCCGCAGACTGAGTTCAGTTCCCTAGCACCAATCTAAAATGATTGGCAGACAGTGTGCATTTATAACCCCAGAACTGGGGTAGAGCATGGAGATGGGAAGATGGATCCCTGGAGTTGGGGAGAGCTCCATAGCCAGTAAGGGACCTGTCTCAAAACAGTAAGATGGAAGCAGTCACCTGACCTCAACATCTGGCCTCCACATGAACATTCACATGTATAAGCATGAGCACACACAACCTGGAAGCACATCATGTCCCAGTCATGATTCTGGACATTGAAGAGCAATAAAGACAGTAAAGGAGCTGGAGAGTTCACTAGTTGTCCCATCATTCACCATTGGCTTTGCATTGGCTATATAGGACAAAGCCACTTTCCAAAGAGGAAACCATGCCTGCAGGATGTGAGGACTGACTGTGGGAGCTTCTGGAGCAAGGACTGACCATGTGAGAAAGTCTGAAGTCCCTAAGTAGGAAAGATGTTCATCCCAGCTGCACCTGCCTAAACAACTTTGCCAGGAGTAAAGAGAAGACATACTGCTCTTATCATTCTGCCCAGATGTTAGCTTCCATTGGTCAATCATTATTTGATATTCCATCAGCAATTCATAATCAGTTAACATCTCTAACCTAAAAGTGGTTATGAAATTTAACCAAGGCCTTATATAGCAGTCCCTTGATTTTCATGGGAAAATTAGGTCCAGGAGTCTTCAGAGATACTAGAATCCTCAAATGTTCAAGTGCTTTATAGAAAAATAGATTAGGATAGTATTTTCATATAACTCACATAATCTTTCCATATACTTTTTATTGTCTACTAACAATATGCAACATGGTATATATGCTGTGTAAGTAGTTATATTGTTCAGGGAATGGTGAAATGAAGAAGTATACATATATTTAGTATTTGTGTAATGTTTTAAAAATATTATCAATCTATTGTTGCCTAAATCTCTGAATTCGGGGAACAGTATTGTAAACATCACAGTTTCAAACATCAATTCAGGCTTCAGGAGAATCAGCCTACATTAGAAGGATTCAGGGAATTGGGAGGGATTAAATTGTGATATTTTCAACTACCTTGTCCTCTCTGTCCATCTGCATTCTATATCCCCATGTTGTCTGTCATTGCCACAACCATAGGGAATACCCCTGGACTGAACAGAAATCTCTTCTCCCTTATCATGTTCCCAACAGCCAGTATGCAGGGACACATAAATCCACAAGGTTCCATTGTGAAGGTGCTTTTCAATATTCTCCAAGGGGAACAGGCTTTGGAAAGCCAGCCTCTGAACCAGACATGATTCATCTCCCTGATCCTGTGGGAGAGAGGTCAAGGACCAGAAACCTGGATGGTAAAAAGAGCAGTTTGGACCACAGCCCACCTGTAAATTTGCAACCCAAGAGCCACAAGAGAAGACAGGGAAGGGGGACCTCCTTGTTGTGAAATGGATGAAATCCTACCTTCAGAGATGGGCAGGGAAAGGTTTAAAAGTTTTGTACTGTTGGCACCCTAGGGGCTTCTCAAGACCTTAGAAAGCAAATAATTGTGGTAACTAATAGAATCTAGTTTAGAACAGAATTTATTACTCTGTCTTTTCTTTTAAATTCATTGTATTTTTTACCCTTTGTCATTTAAAATGAGCACTGAGACTTTGCTGGGGCCTAACTTTCCCAAATGGCTCAATTACAGAGAGCTCAGCCTCAAGCAAAATGTCAGAAATATAAGAGAAAGAGAGTGGAGGGACAACCTTTCTCCTTTCTCAGATGGGTGGGGTTGTTTTGGGGGCTTAAGTGAATGTGGGTCACATTTCACAGGTAGAAGTGACCTATGTCTCACAGCAGTGCCTGGTCCTCTAGCTCCAGCACCATGGGAGACTCATATGAGTGAGACATGTTCAGAAAAGTTCAGTGAAGTCCAGGCCAGGACTAGGAACCAATTGAATCTATTCACCTGTAGATGACAGTTTCTTTATTTGGGACAATTTTGCTGAACACATTTATCTGCCTTCTCTGGAAACCTTGAGCTAAATATGTTGGTATTTCCACCTGAGAAAATATTTCACTGCAAAAATCAACACAACAGTGAACAAAAGCAAGAATACAATGAGAAAGAAAATGCCCACAGCTGTGATACTGCATGACAGTGTGACATCAGATAGCTTGACTCCCCTCAGCAATGGAGGATTTGCACAAAAAGTGTTCTCTGTGTCCTCAAGTTTTTGCATGTTTTCTTTGTACCATTCTAAAAAGTAAATATTTGAGCAAGTGCAGTCCAGGGGATTTCCTCTTAAATTAATAGTTCTTTGCTGGGACAAGATGGGGAGGAGACCAGATGGGATGATGCCAATGTGATTGGCAGCTAGATTGAGGTAGATCCCTTTAAGATGACTAAGAGCCTCGATGCTACTGGATGTCAGCCTGTTGTGACTTAGGTCTACATGATTCATTATCTTAAGACTAATGAAGGCTTGCTGGTCTATGGAGGACAGATCACAGAATGATAAAATTAGGATTTCTAGGCTTTCCAGTGTCTGAAGTGGGTTGGTCTTTTGGATATTCCCATTTGGAAAGTTGTTTCCCTGTAAGTTCAGATGCTGGAGCACTGGCAGGCCATCAAGGATATGCTGATTACTGGTGTCAAGGAGGCAGTGGGAGAGATTTAGAACCTTCAGAAGATGAAGGTTCTGGAAGGGACTTTGTGCAGTATTAACCCTTAACCGGGTAAATGCCAAATCCAGGAGTTCTAGCTGAGGACATTCTTGGAATGCCTCTGTCTTTAGGCCCAGGGGTTCATTATAGCTCAAGTTTAGGCTTTGTAAGTGAGACAGGTTTTTGAGTTGCAGGTTGCAGCAATCAGAAGTTTCAATGTCATCATGACTTAGATCCAGCAGATGAAGATTTTCTAGGTTTTCTAAACAGCCAGTACCAAGATCAAGTCTCTTCGTGTTGCCTTTGATGTAAAGGTGTGTAAGGGAGGGGAAATTGGCAGCATTGATTTGACACAAGTTAGAAAACTTATTTGCACTGAGAACTAATTTCTTGAGGCTTTTTAGTCCCACAATTCCAGAGGGTAATTCTTTCAGGTGAGTGGCTGTAAGGTCCAGTTCCTGGAGGCTGGTGAAGCAGTGGAATGTATTGGATGAGATGTTGAAGAAGTGATGCTTCTGCAGGTACATGCTCTCAACAGACATTTCACAGAGACCATCAAACACAGAGAAATTAATGTCTTCATCATTAATGTCCTCAAAGGTCCCCAGCCAGAGAGACTGGACAGTGGAGTTCTGCAAACCCTTGAATATAACCAGCAAATCAAGAGTCCCTCCAAAGTCCAAACTTTGGAAGATAGTTGACTTGAAAGCCCCAAGCTCTATCCGTGTGATGTCATTTCCCTTTAAGTTAAGGCTCAGATTAGTGGCCTGCTGTAGAGATCCCACATCTTCTTTAGACAGGTAATGGATAGCATTGTTTTGAAAATCCAGAACTTTCAGCTTCTCTGTTGGGAAGTCTTTGGGGAGCTTAATGGAAGAGATATGGTTGCTTCCAAGATGGAGACTTTCCAAGTTTTTCAGATTGTGCATGGGGATAAAGTCAAGACTGGACATTCCTGTTTGGATGAAGAACAGGTGTTTCAGTGACTTGGGTCCATTAAGTGATGTTTCTGCCATAAATATCAGGGGATTTGCAGTTAGCACAAGTGTGTCTAACTGATGTTGGCTTTGGAAAGTATCTTCATGTATCCAGTAAATCTGGCACCTCAAAGAAATAAGAGTATTTAGCAATCACTTATATAAGGACAAAAGAACAAACATCAGCACAGCAATGGGTTTAAGGAATCCATTGTGTGCAATAGCAAAATAGCATACCTCAGTGCAAAGTAAAGGAGAACTTTCTTCCACACACATAGAATAGTTTGTTCAGTTGATGAATAACCTTAGTTCTGAATATTCTGATTTAAAATTTACTCTATAGTCCTGGCCCTTTAGAGTGAACAATCAGGGATTTTTATGATTGCAAGGAAAAAAACCCAGTGATTTAATTGTATAATTTACTGTACACACACACACACACACACACACACACACACACATATATATATGTGATACAACATTTATTGATCTTTCTGGGGTGGTTGGTTAGTACAGATTGAATTCAAGTCTTAGCACATGCTGAACACACAGTCTACCAATGAGCTAATAGTCTTGCTGTTCTTTCATCAGTTAAATATAAAAGGAGTTTATGAAGAACTATTGTGGGTCAAAGGATATATGGGAAAATGCTCCTTGAACTGAAGAACAGGAAAGACTCAGAAAACACCATCCTTATATTACACCTGAAAATCCTGGATTGATCACACACCTGAGCACATGGATACATGCCCCTTTGTTGGCACATATGCATGCTGATGGTTCCTCATCTACCCACAACTGAGTGGTGATGCTGGCCATAGTATCTCCCAGTGGTACTTGTAAACATGAAGGATTGCAATGGTGGCATGCTCTCCCACTCTGTAGGAATGGAAAGACGAGTGTGGAGAACTGCTACAAATGTCAGGAAAGCATCAGCCTTCTTTCCCTACTTCCCACATGTATGCCCTCACTGGCTGTTGATACTTCTGCCCCTTTGTTCTCAAACATTGGCTCAGCATTCAGATCTGACTTTCAGGCTATATTTCAGCAATTAGAATCAAGAGTCTGCCTCTAGAACAGACAATGGAATTCTTAATTCAATTTTTCAAAAACAAATAAAATGCTATAGAAGCCAGATGTAGGGGTTTGCCTTCCTTTAATCCTAGCCCTCAGGAGGCAAAGGCAGGCAAACATCTGTGAGTTCAAGGCCAGCCTGGTCTACATAGTGAATTCATGGAGAAACAATACTACATAGAGAGATTGTGTCTCAAAAACAAAACAAAACAATACAAAACAAAACAAAAGCCAAAAAACGAAACAAATGAACAAAGGACAACAAAACAATTTTAATCAAGGGATCTATGAGTTTCTTCTAAAATGGCATTGCCCAGTAACAGCCAACTATGTTAACATAGTTGTATTTATCCTTACATATTAACATATAAAGATAAATATACAAGCAGCATAATATTAAATCAAGATTTGTTTTCATTTTTGCCATCAATACCTCTTAGAACAGTGGTTTTCAAACTTCCTAGTGCTGCAACCCTTTAATACAGTTCCTCATGTTGTGGTGGCCCCAACCATAAAATGATTTGCATTGCTACTTTGTAACTGCAATTTTGCTACTGTTATGAATTGCAATGTAAATATCTGATATGCAGTATATCTGACAATCGACCCATTTGAAAGGGTCATTCTACACCCAAAAGGGTTGCCACCCAATGGTTGAGACAACTGCTTTAGACCTTCCTAAAGAGTATCTGAAACAGAGCTGGGGATCAGAATACTTTCCTCCTAGTTGACTGGCCTTAATTTACAATCATCGTAGTACCAGAAATGTGTTGCTTGGGGGAGGATAAATACACAGCAGCTTATCTGTGGCCCTATAGGAGGTATCAGAGATGTTTGGGATGCACAGCATGGTTTTGCTTAAGTAAAATGTCAAGAGCATTCGAGGAGCTGAAATACCTACCTGGTTAAATCCAGAAAGGTGAGATTTACAAGTCTGCTGAAGGTGGTATTTTGAATTGTAGGCAAGAAATTAAAGCTGAATTCCAAACATTCTGTTGAGTTTGGTAGAGTGCCAGGAATTTCACCGAGACCCAAATTTTCACAGTTGTATGTTTTGTTGGTTTCTTTCTGATGGGAAAAGCAATACAAATTAATATTGGATTTAGTAATTTGATTCATTATCTAGCAAAATTTTGTATGATTTACCTTTTGAGAAGCAGTCCCATGTCTAGTAATCTTTCCCAAAAATATACTAACAAAATACAAAATGTTTATGCACAATCATATTCATTACAGGTTTTTAATAAGCTACCACAAAGAATAACAATAAAGCATTTACTCTTGATTAGACTATGATTCAAATAAATCAGTTGGTAAAAGACATTTGTAGTCCATCAGAGAACTCTGAATGATGGGATTAGATGATATTAAGAAAATTACACACTTTGTTAGCAAGGCATTGGCTGTAAGCCAAAATATAAGAGTACGCCTCTAGTTCAAGCACACTGGAGACAGTCAGGAAGATTATGAATTTAATGATGATGTTAACAAAACAAACAAACAAACAATCAATCAAACAAAAACCAAGGGTGTTTTCTAGCATGAACAAACCTGAGTTCAATCCTCTGGACTGAGAGAGAAAAAGATTGTCAATAGCCACACTACTGTAAGTGTGAGTATAGTTGAACAAAATATGGTACTCCCTAGAGGAACCCCACAGAAATATTCTTGCCCAAAACAAGTTCCCAAAAATCAAGGAATGAATAAATTGGAAACTAGTCAAGACTTGGTGTCTACAAGTGAGTGACACAGCTGATTTAAGTTAAGACATCATAAAGTAGCTCTTACCCAAATACAGAAAGTGGAACATTCTATATAGTAACTGGGGAAGGTAGGGGGCAAAGGAAGAGGAGGAGGAGAATGAGGAGGAAGAGGGGAGAAAACTTTTGTTAAGAGATGAGGGGGAGACTGGTGATACCACTCAGTGGGCAAGGGCACTTGCCACCAAGCCTGCCAACCTGGCTTTCCTCCCTTGGAACCCATAGGATAGAAAGAACCAACTCTTGCATGTTGACTCCACCCACATGCCATGGTGTGTACTCACATGGTTGCATATGCACAGAAAGTAACTTTAAAAGCTATTTTAAAAGAGAAAGGTATGCATAATTACTTAGAAAAACAAGTAATAGATTAACCCTCATTTACATTATGATTTTTTAAAAAGCTAGGAAAAGACATTTTATAAACAACCAGAAAATTTTGAAGACAGGATTTGATGATACTGAGAAATAACAAGTGAGAAATAACGAGTTCGGCAGGGGGGTATGAATTTCCTAACATTAGTGGCTAACATGATTACATAAAAGAAATGGTCTTAAATTTTTTAGATGTTAAAAATGAAATGACAGGTTTGAGATTTGTTTTAACATACTCTGAAAAAAATAAAAAAGAAAGAAATCATTCCATAATTCCAGCACTTGGGAGGCTGAAACTGTAGGTCTGCTGTGAGTTCTAAGCCAGTTTGAGATAGGGTGAAACCCTATCTCAACAAACAAACAAGGAGTGCAAACAAACAGAGCAGGAGGGGAGGAGGGAGAACTAAGTGGACAAGTTTGCAGACAAACGCTCATGGTCCTTAAGTGGTAAGTGAGCAACCGGCATTTGGAAGTTATGGTAACTATTTTGTATCAGATTTTCTTAACCCAATATTAAAAGGAAAACTAATAGCACAGATCTTTGGTGCTTCAACCTTGAAATATGACTTCCCCTTTTTGGATCTCCAGGTTGTGTCTACCAGACTGTGGTTCTTTGGGCCCACCCTGTGTCTAACATAGTTCAACATCCTGAAATCTAACAGGCATTGCCTCTTAAATCTCTAATCCAAAATACAGATCTCGAACTAAGGAGAAATGGGAAGATATTCATCAGAAGTCCACAGAACTGTATGGTCATGGTAGATCTGGTGTTGCTATAGTATCCATAGTTGGTGTGTGTGTGTGTGTGTGTGTGTGTGTGTGTGTGTGTGTGTGTGAGATTGAGGGTGAGACAGGTAGGAAGGTCTGATGTTGTGTTTTCTGCCTAAGGAGACTCCTAGCTAAGAAAAACATTATTGATACTTTCTCAAGTAGATGGGCACCAGTGCTTAGACTGTCTCACATCCTAGGTGAACTCATGTAACCACTTATCTCCTGGTCTTTCCTTACCACATATGTGTTGACAGAAGTTGCTGTCCTACCTGGTCCCACATCCATTTAGTCCCAAATAAACACACAGAAGCTTATATTAATTATAAACTGTTTGGCTGATAGCTCAGGCTTCTTTTTGGCTAGCTCTCTCCTAGTTATTAACCCATTTCTATTAATCTGTGTATCACCACATGGTCTTGGCTTACCTGTGATGCCCAGACCTCTTTCTCTCTCAGCAGCTACATGGCATCTCTCCCTTGAGAGTCACTCTCTTCATTCCTCTTCCCAGAATTCTCCTAGTCTGATAGCCCTGCCTATCCTTCCTGCCTGGCTACATCCCACCTGTCCATTGGCCAAAACAGCTTTATGAGAGAAAACATATTCATAGCATATAGAAGGACATCCCCCATTACACACTTGCTCTCCAGTGGTCCATTAGGTTGCCCCAACACACTCTTGTTCAGCTGCCTTCCTACTGTTGACTACAAACAGATTTTCATGGCTGGAAGCAGAAGTACACATACCCTCCTTTTTTCCTGAATGGTGAGGCTCTCTATATGGCACCATTTTAATCACTTTTTGCCTAACTCCATTTCCTGCTCAGTGGCACACTTTTGTAGCACCACTAAGCATGAGCACCTACAAAAAACCAGTGCTTTCCTTCTATGCTGTGAAGCTATTACAACCATTGATGATGAAAATGCCATATTTGTATTTCCCTGTAATTTATTCTCCATTTTTAGAGAACCAAAGTCCTCTAGGCACTGTCACAAATCCATCCACATAATGTCCTTGAAATGCACACTTTGCATTTACAACCGAGATTTAGCTGACTGTTGGGGAAAAACATGTTACAAGACTGTGCCTGGTGCCTGCGAATATGGCTCACCCAGAGAGAACCTGTGTGTGTGGACAGCTGTGGGCTCAATGTTGCTGTGGTTCATATTAGCTTGGAGCAGACATTTTTCTTTTCTAGTCCCCATTGGCACATCTGACTTGACGTATATATGGAGAAAGGGGAATCCTCAATCTGTCTGGCTCTATTATAGTACTACAGTGAAAGGCTACCGATTTCCCCTTCTGAATATACATGCCCAGGACACTGAAATTATTTCATCTTTCAGCCTCCTCTGGGCTTTCTAAGCACTTTACTGCACTAATGGGATTCAGAAAGTAAAGACTCTGCTGAGCCAGGAGCCCAGGGACCTTCTAGAAAGAGGAAAGGCAAGGAAGTGAAATAGCTCTTTCACCCCAGAAAAAAAAGGAGAGGTAGGCAGGGTCTGACAGGACCAAGCAGGAAGACAACCAAGCGTGTTCTACAAATATCCACGTAGATGGACATAGCAATGACCCTGCTACCCTTGATTTCTAGGAGGAAGGGTGATGACAAGAGTTAGGTAGAATTTCAAACCAAACAGGTTTTGGGTTCCACACACAGATGCCTACTACAGTTCTTGAAGTCAGAGTTTTACAATAGAAACTGTTATGACCATGAGAGTTAGCAACATATATGAATCACTGGATAGTTTTCAGTTGATTTTTAGACTGAAAAATTTATTTAATTAATCTATTTTATATCCTAACCACAGTTTCCCCTCTCCCCTCTCTTCTCATTCCCTCCCCATCCACTCTTCCCCTATTTCTGTTCAGAAAGGGGCAGGCATCCCATGGGTAGCAATGAAATATGGCATATCAAGTTTCAGTAAGACTAAGTGCCTCCCCTTGTATTAAGGCTGGACAAGGCAATCTAGAATGAGGAATAGGTTTCCAAGAGCCAGCCAAAGCATTAGGGACAGCCCCTACTCCTATTGTTAGGAGTCCCACAAGCTTACCAAGATATACAACTGTCACATATATGTAGAGGGCCTAGGTTGGTTCCCTGGTTGTTGCTTTGTACTCTGGGAGTTCCTATGAGCCAGGTTAGTTGTTTCTGAGGGTTTTCTTTTTCAAAATTTCTATTTAAATTAGAAACAATTTTATTTTACATATCAATACCAGTTCCCTCTCCCTCCCATCCTCTCATGTCCCTCACCAACCATCCCATCCCGATCCATTCCCCAGGGAGGGTGAAGCCTTCCATGAGGGATCATCAAAGTCTGTCAAGTCATTTGGGGCAGAGCCTAGGCCCTCCCCCATGTATCTAGGCAAGAGAGTATCCCTCTTGGGGAATGGGCTCCCTAAGTCTGTTCATGCACTAGGGATAAATACTGGTTCCACTGCCAGAGGCCCTATAGACTGCCCAGGCCTCCTAGCTGACATCCACGTTCAAGGGGCCTGGTTTTGTCCTATGTTGGTTCCCCTGTCAAACTAGGGTCTGTGAGCTCCCATATGTTCAGGTCAGCTGTTTCTGTGGGTTTCCCCAGTATGGTCTTGACTCCTTTGCTCATCACTACTCCCTCTCTACAACTGGATTCTAGGAGTTCAGCTCAGTGTTTAGCTGTGGGTGTCTGCTACTGCTTCTATCAGCTACTGGATGAAGGCTCTAGGATGGCATATAAGGCAGTCATCAATCTCATTACCAGAGAAGGGCATTTAAGGTAGACTCTCTACTATTGCTTAGATTCTTAGCTGGGGTCACCCTTGTGGATCTCTGGACCTTTCCCTAGTGCCAGATTTCTCTTTAAACCTATAATGGCTCCCTCTATTAAGGTATCTCTTTTCTTGCTCTCCTATGTACATCCCCAGACTCCATCAGATAGGCTAATATAAAAAACAATTTATGCTGGAGAGGATATGAAGAAAGGGGAATGCTCCTCCATTGCTGGTGGGAAGGAGTGCAAACTTGTCTTTCTGGGTCTGAGTGAGGTAACCCAGACCCATAAAGACAAACATGGTATATACTCACTCTTAAGTGGCTATTAGCTGTAAACTAAAGGAGAACCTTGTTTTTATTTTTTAAGGCATGAACATGTGCACACACACACACACACACACACACAAACA